GCGGGTTGGTTTGCGCTTGCCCCCCCCCCCCCCCGTTCCTCAAATGACTCCCGTATCGCCTCCCCTACTTCCAAGGGGGCGGTTTGCTTTCTTTTGGTATCCCCCCCAACTCATCATCAGCTCTAACATCTGTTCAGCCTTTGGTTTCTGTTCTTAAACAGTTTGTTTCTCTACTTAACTAGTAATAGCTGTTTCTTATGGTCATATGCCAATAGCAGAAAACATATGGTAGCAAAAATAGAAACACAAAACCTTCATGTAAAAGAATATAAAAACAACATATATATTTCACTGATTCAGCCTGGAACCATGGTAGACTCTGATGGCTACACAGAATCTAGTGGAAGGGAAGAGAAGATTGGTTTTATACCCCGCCCTTCACTACCCAAAGGAGTCTCAGAGTGGCTTACCATCTCCTTTCCCTTCCCCTCCCCACAACAGACACCCCGTGAGCAGTGTTCCCTCTAAGCTGAGTTAAGATGAGCTAGCTCACAGTTTTTTAGCCTCTGGCTCACACATTTTTGCCTCAGGAAGGAGGGCTCCAGAGCAAACTAATCTAGGCAGCAGCCAAATTGCTCGCTCGCAACTTTAATGCCAGAAGCTCACAAAGTAGAATTTTTGTTCACAAGACTCCGCCGCTTAGAGGGAGCCTTGCCTGTGAGGTAGGTGGGGCTGAGAGAGCTCTTTCGAGGACTGCTCCTGAGAGAACAGCTACGAGAGAGCTTGGGACTTATGCAAGGTCGCCCAGCTGGCTTCCTGTGAAGGAGCGGGGAATCAAACCCGGTTCTCCCAGATTAGAGTCTACACTCTTAACCACTGCACCAAACTGTCCGTGGTTCCAGGGTAGAGTTGCCAGCACTGGGTTGGGAAATACCTGGAGATTTGGGGGGTGGAGCCTGGGGAGGGCGGAGTTTGGGGAGGGGCGGGACCTCAGCAGGGTACATTGCCATAGAGTCCACCCCCCAAAGCAGCCAAATTCTACAGGGGAACTGGTCCCTGAAGCCTGGAGATGAGCTGTGATTCTGGGGGGTCGCCAGCTCCCACATGCAGGCTAGCATCCCTAGGAACACCCAAGAAGCTGCCTTATACTGAATCAGACCCTTGGTGCAGTGTTGTCTACCCAGGAGCTCGCCAGGGTCTCAGGCAGAGTTCTTTCAAATCATCTCTGACCTGGTCCTTCTTACCAGAGATGCCGGGGATTGAACCTGGGACCTTCTGCCCGCCAAGCAAAGGCTCTTCCACTGAGCCACAGCCCTTCCCCTATAGTAGTGTAGTGGTGACGTGCACGGACTCTAATTTGGGAGAACTGGGTTTGATTCCCCACTCCTCCACTTGCACCTGCTGGTGTGACCTTAGGTCAGTCACAAGCTCTGGCACAGCTGTCCTTGAAAAAGAGCAGTTTGTGTCAGAGTTCTCTCAGCCCCACCCACCTCACAGGGTGTCTGTTGTGGGGAGGGGAAGGGAAAAGGAGTTTGTAAGCCGCTCTGAGACGCCAAGTGAAGGGCGGGGTATAAATCCAACCTCCTCCTCCTCCTCTTCTTCTTCTTCAATACTGTTCCTCCGATCTTCCAGGGTTTTTGGGGAGGATAGGAATGAGGACCATAAACGTAAGGGAATCACCCAATCGGCAATCAAAACAGCAGAGGCTTCCAAGTGTCAAATTGTGGCACTCGACACTACGGCCCCGATCCCCTCCTCACCTTCATATTCCGCGATGTTGCTTCTCAGAAAGGTCGGGAGCCATTCGTACAGCACAATTTTCTAGAAAGGCAAGAAGCAAGTTTTGAGAAGGGCATGAACAGAGCCCAGAGGAACCAATTCTACATATGTATTCCTATCCCACCCTTCTTCCAAGAAACAGGGAAGTGTCCACGGTTCCCCCGTTTTTTTCTCAAAACAACCCTGAGAGGGAGGCTGACAGAGCGAGTGACTGGCTCAAAGCCACCCAGTAAGCTTTGCAGCGGAATGAATCTCACCTCAGACATGAACCGGGGAGCAGGGTTCAGTGTTCCCTCTAAGATGAGTTAGTGTGAGCTAGCTCACAGTTTTTTAGCCTCCAGCTCACACATTTTTTTGTCCTAGCTCAGGAAGGAGGGCTCCAGAGCAAACTAATTTACGCAGCAGCCAAACCGCTCGCTCACACCTTTAATGCCAGCAGCTCACAAAGTAGAACTTTTGCTCACAAGATTCCACAGCTGAGAGGGAGCATTGGTAGGGTTGCCAGCTCCAGGTTGGGAAATCCTGGAGACTTGAGGGTGGAGCCCGGGGAGGACGGGGACCTCAGTGGGGTACAATGCCAGAGAGTCCCCCCCCCCCAAGCATCCCTTTTCTCCAGGGCAACTGATAAACTTTGAATCCAGTGGTACCTTTAAGACCAACAAAGTTTGATTCGAAGTATGAGCTCACGTGCGCACGCACACTTCCTCAGATACAACGAAATAGAATTTGAGACCAACACAGCTACCCACCAGAATCTATCTGGATAGATAAGCTGTGATTCCAGGAAATCCCCAGCTCTACGGACAGGCATCCGTAGAAGCAAACCTGTCTCTTGTTGAGCCCCCTCGCCAATTTACTATGTAGTGGCAACTGATTTATGGCAATCTCACCGCCTGACTTCCAAGGCAAGTGAGAAGCAGATGTGTTTGGCCATTGCCTTCCTCTGCAGAGCCTTCCTTGGTAGTCTCCCATGCAAGTACCGACCCAGCTTAGCTTCCAAGACCTGACGGGATGGGGCTATATCATGCCTCCTTCCTTCTCTCCTCATCAATTTAGGGATAATAATATTCGCTTATTTACCAGAGCCCGTGTTGTATAGCAGCTCAGAGAAGTATGGAACGGGGAGGTCACCGGTTCAAGTCTCAGCCCAGAACTCAGTAGGTGGCTTTCAACAAGAACCCTCTCTCTGCTTCACCCTCCCGTACTGGCAGTGACTCTTGCCTACCTTGCAGGGTTGTTGTGGGACTGCAAAAACAGCCATTCGCTCTCGGAACCCACGAGCGGGTCATACAAATGGACGGGTATTGCCGGTGTCAATGAAGAGGATTCTCTTTCCTTTCTGTGCCTCACCTGGTAAGTGGCCACGACCCTTTTTCGTGCGTGTTGGAACAGATCTTCGTCTAACCAGCTGGGATTCTCCCTGGCAAGCTTCTGTGCCCAGTAGTTGTGGTAGCGGAACCAGACGATGCTCATGGCTTGCAGGAAGGGGTTTTCGTTTCCTCTGGCACTTCCAAAGTCTAGGAAAAGGAACCCAAGAGAGGGGGGATTAGGCATCTCTCTGAGAATATATCTGGGAGGAACTGATGTCTTTCGGGACTCGGCGAGAGGTCAGCATTGTCGAGTCAGAACCCAGCGCTGGAGCGATCTTTTATTTTATTTATTTATTTATTTATTTATTATTAAATTTATATCCCGCCCTCCCCACAAGGGTGGTTTGATACACAGACAAAACTGTCTTGTACAAAGAGCGCATTTGGAAATCCTTCAGCAACGCATGTTGACAACTCTTAGAATTAAATGCTCCTTCATGTCAAAAAGCCAGCGAATCAAGCAAAAGAGTTCTAGACCAGGACGGGTTGCCAGGTCCTTACCTGCGTCCGGTGGAGGGATTTGGGAGGCATTCTGGGGGTGAGCAGCACTGTTCCCTCTAAGCTGAGTTTGTGTGAGCTAGCTCACAGTTTTTTAGTCTCTGGCTCACGCATTTTTGATTTGCTCAGGAAGGAATGGCTCCAGAGCGAACTAATTTATGCAGCAGCCAAATGGCTCCCTCACAGCTTTAATGCCAGTAGTTCACAAGGTAGAATTTTTGCTCACAAGACTCCACAGCTTAGAGGGAGTGTTCCCTCTAAGCTGTAGAGTCCTGTGAGCAAAAATTCTACTTTGTGAGCTACCGGCATTAAAGTTGTGAGCAGGTGATTTGGCTACTGCATAAATTAGTGTGTTCTGGAGCCATTCCTTCCTGAGCTGAGATAAAAATGTGTGAGCCGGAGGCTAAAAAACCGTGAGTTAGCTCACACTAACTCAGCTTAGAGGGAACACTGGTGGGGACGTTGTCAACGTGGTGATGTTACTTCTGGAACGGACGTCATCGCGTCAGCAACGTTGGGGCAACCCTCTACCTTTTGGGCAAAACTCTGACAAAAATGGCTACAAACCATAGAGTTTTGCCCCAAAATTAGAGTGTCGCCCCGATGTTGCCGACGCGATGACGCCAGTTCCAGAAATGATATCATCACATTTACAATGTCGCCAGGGGGATTTGGGGGTGTGGGGGGTTCACCTGATGGCCAGCTGGCCGGTGGTAGGCCCGAGCACACAAAAGCGTGGGATCCCTCACCCCACCTGGGGGCTGGCACGCCCAAGAACAGCGGTTCCCAACGTGGTGCCCATGGGAACTGTGGTGTCTGCCAGCACCTTTCCTGTTGCCTGTGAAGTGTTTTGCCCCACGAGGCTTCTGATTGGCTGTGTGCATTTTTTAAAATGTCACTTTGGCTGCAGCTGCCACCACAGCCTGAGGATCTTCACTGCGTGACTGAAAAGAAGCTGAGGCGGCCATTTTACGGCTGGCTCTGCCCTCTGCTTTATGGCAACCCGTCTGTGGCTGCACCCACCATGCTGTGTGAGCATTCCGAAGGTGCCCCCAGGCTCAAGAAGGCCGGGGATCCCTGCTCTAGACATCTGATAGATGGGCTAATTTTCTACAGTCAGGGAAATTTTGTTTCGTCTCTGGGGGTGGATTCAAAGGTACGCTCCTTCATCTTCAGATAGAAGTAGCACTCTCCTAGGGTGGTCCAGTAGTCATGTATGGCTGCGAGAGTTGGACCATAAGGAAGGCCGAGCGCCGAAGAATAGATTCTTTTGAACTATGGTGCTGGAGAAGACTCTTGAGAGTCCCTTGGACTGCAAGAAGAACAAATCAGTCAATCCTAAAAGAAATCAACCCTGACTGTTCCTTGGAAGGCCAGATAATGAAACTGAAGCTCAAATACTTTGGCCACCCAATGGGAAGGGAGCACTCACTGGAGCAGACCCTGATGCTGGGAAAGATTGAAGGTCAAAGAAGACGGGGACGGCAAAGGATGAGATGGTGAGACAGTGTCATAGATGCAACGAACATGAAATTGAACCAACTTCAGAGGACGGCGGAAGACACGAAGGCCTGGCGTGATCTGGTCCATGGGGTCGCGAAGAGTCGGACTCGACTGTGCGACTGAACAAAAACAGGGTGGTCATGCCACATTATGGTTTTTTCCATGTTTGAATGAGCTCTCACTGAATTTCCTATAGAGAACAGCCAGGCGTAGCATCTTATTAAAAGGAGATTAGACAGATTCATGGAGGAGAGGTCTACCAGTGGCTACTAGCCACGGTGACTAAAGGGAACCTCCATGTTCAAAGGCAGGCAACCTCTGAATCCCAGAGCCAGGAGGCAACATCAGGGGAAGGCCTCGGTTTCTCTGCCCTGTTGTTGACCCTCCATAGTAACCAGTTGGCCACTGTGTGAGACAGGATGCTGGACTGGTCTGATTTGATCTGATCTGGCCTGATGCTGGACTGGTCTAATCTGGTCTGATGCTGGACTGGTCGAAAACACTAAACCCCAGTTAAAGGATCTCATCTTCAAGAGGGCGTGTTCCATTCAGACGCAGAAGTCAGCTCCTGAATAGTTTTAGTGAAGTTCTTTATGAACTGATGGATATCTATGCAAGCAATTCTTGAGAAAGGAGAAGTTGAAACGGAAGGAGACATTGGCTATCCGTTGGATCGCCATTAAGCAGAAGGCCCGAAAAGCAGGGGCCACCCCCACTGGGACCTGGGGGGGGGACTGGCATGGCAACCCTATAGGGTCTATACACCAGGAAGTGAAACGGCCATCCTCCCGAAGGCTGCTGGCACGATTTCATTTCTCCACCTGTGCTCTTAAGAAATGAACAAACGGAAGCAAATCGTTTGTTGATTTTTAAACATCACGCCCCAGAGTTTATCAGTCCCGGGACGACACACCAGTCAAACAGATAAGGCATCATAAACTGTGTATAACACAATAAAAGATGCGTAATGACAGACGAGATGACACCCCGTCACGTCCACATGCAAATATGGAGCATTAAACTTTATAATTCCCGTCAGTCCAAGAAATGTGCAATGTGCCAAAGGTTGGACCCCCTGCTCTGCTCCTGATTTATGTCAAAAACACAAATAATCTTTCTTTGACACACCTCTGAACTCAATCTGAGCCCCCTTGCCAAAACTATCTGAACCGGTAACTGTGGGCTCCTGTGGTGATGCTGTCTAGATAGGTTAACGGAGAGGAGAAGAAGAGGAGGAGGAGGAGGAGGAGGTGCTGGTGGTGGTGGAGGAGGAGCTTGGATTTATACCTCGCCCTTCGCTTGGAGTCTCAGAGCGGCTTACAATCTCCTTTCCCTTCCCCTCCCCACAACAGACACTCTGTGAGGTAAAAGAAGAAGAAGAAGAGGAGATTGGATTTCTACCCCGCCCTTCAGTACCCGAAAGAGTCTCAGAGCGGCTTACCGTCTCCTTCCCCTTCCCCTCTCCACAACAGACACTCTGTGAGGTAGGTGGGGCTGAGAGAGCTCTTTCGAGGACTGCTTTTTCAAGGACAGCTCTGAAAGAACTATGGCTTGCCCAAGGTCATCCAGCAGATGCAAGTGGAGGAGTGGGGAATCAAACCCGGCTCTCCCAGATTAGAGTCCGCTTGCTTAACCACTACACCAAACTGGCTGATCTGTTCCATTGATGGAATACCACATACTTCCTAGGGTTACCAACTCCGGGTTGGGAAATGCCTAGGGATTTTGGGAATGGCGCCTGAGGAGGGCGGGGTTTGGGGAAGGGAAGGACTTCAGCAGGGTACAATGCCAGAGAGCCCACCTTCCAGAGCAGCCACTTTCTCCAGGTGTGCTGATCTCTGTTGCCTGGAGATCAGTTGTAATAGCAGGAGATCTCCAGCCACCCCCTGGAGGTTGGCAACCCTAATACTGCCCTAAGACAGTTTTGTCTGTGTATCAAACCACATCAGACCCCCCCCTCCTCCACCCCCATTCTGTAGGTCCATTAATCCAATCAGTGTACATCCCAAACAAAGACCAGGAACAGACATAGTGCCCACCAGATCCAGGGGACAGGAAACAATGTAGGAACATCCTGTACTGCCTAAAGAAGGACTGTTCTCTCGAGGACTGCTCTTGAGAGAACAGTTCCAAGAGAACTCGTGACTGACCCAAGGTCACACCAGCAGCTGCATGTGGAAGCGTGGGGAATCAAACCCGTTTCTCCCAGATTAGAGCCTGCGCACTTAACCACTACACCAAACTGACTCTCACTAAAAAAAACAGTCAAGGCAGACAAAAACACAATTTAACGTGTTTTGCTTTGCCATTTTGGCCTGGCAAAGTCAGCCTTCAGGATTCGTTTGGATGGGTCTGAGTCGCTACCCAGCCACTCGGTTTCTCAGCTCGGGCAATGGGATCCCTCCCTCTCAGGCCCTCGTAAGGGTTCGGCCAAGAAATTGTGACAGAAAATGGCCTCCACTGCCAATCCACGGGACGCAAGTCCTAAACCTTCTCTAAAATACTCGGAAACGATCCTCTCACAGGATCGCATCATCCCAGAATGCAGGGGTCGTTTCGTAGAAAAAGAGCTAGGGGACTCATTAGCATAACTCATTAGCATATGCCACACCCCCTGACATCACCGGAAGTGTGTCATAAGGCCACACACCCCGCCCCCAACGGTCCCGGCCACTGCCGCCGGCCTTGCAGCTCCACTGCCGAGCCCCATGAGGGGCCCGGCGGTGGACCTGCAAGGCCAGCGGGAGTGCAAGGAAGCCCCGCGAAGGCCCTCCCTGGCCCCAGGCAGGCAGGGGTGGGGAGAGGCAGGGAGGAAGCAACTTACCCTCCCTCTTCTCCTGCCTCCTCCTGGCTGAATGAGGGCCGGAAGCGGGGCGGCCAAAAGCAGGGGGCGGGGCTTCGTCATGTGCCCCGCCCCCCGTACCTCACCCAGGGGAACTGCGATCCCCCCCCGAAATGACCTCTGCCAGAATGTATTGGCAGAATTATCATTTTAAAAGTCCCTTATGGGAAATTAGGCTTGCTTGATTACAGCTGGTCAGACAACAGAGATCAGCTGGAGGAGATTGCTGCTTTTGGAGGGTGGACTCTATGGTGTTACACCATAGAGCTGCTGAGGCCCCTCCCCTCCCCAAATCCCGGCCTTCCCAGGCTCTTTGCCAGGCCCCCCTGGCCATCAGTGGGGTATGTGGCGGTGTTGTCAGATCCAGGTTTGGAAACTCCTGGAGATTTGAGGGTGCAGCCTGGGGATGACAGGGACTTCAGTGGGGTACAATCCTGTACAGCCCACCCTCCAAAGCATCCATTTTCTCCAGGGAGAATTGATCTCTGTAGTCTGGAGATGAGCTGGAATTCTGGGGGGGTCCCCAGGTCCCACCTGGAGGCTGGCATCCCTACTCCACCCCCAAATCCCCAGGAACTCCCCAACTTGGAGCTGCCAAGCTTATGGACAATGTTGAGATAAACCTTCTCATGAACTCGGTTCTGAAGCTGGGGAGCAGAGTGTCTTCAGGGGCAACGGGAAATGGGGAAAGAGGGAGCAAGGAAAGGGTTAAGCACACTCTACGGCTCTCAACTGCCCTTCCCAAAGTGGAATTTAAAGGGGTTGGGGGGATGTCAGCTTATATTTCCATAGATCTGCCTATAATTTGTAGTTTGGTCTGGCCATTTTTGCCATGCACAGAGATCTCCTGCTGTTACAATGGATATCCAGACAACAGAGATCAATTCTCCTGGAGAAAATGGCTGCTTTGGAGGGTGGGCTCTAGGGCCTTGTACCCTGCTGAGGCCCCTCCCCTCCCCAAACCCCGCCCTCCCCAGGCTCCACCCCCCCGAATCTCCAGGTATTTCCACACCTAGAGCTGGCGACCCTGTTTCCAACAATTGACAGCCAATGCATTCTTGCAGCAGAACCTGACTGTGAAGACTGTACCACGTGCTTGCTAGCACCTTGAACCTGGCTGTTACTGAAAAGACATCCAGCGTTCTGGGAACAGGAGGTACACTCAGTTGTAGGGTTGCCAGCCTCCAGGTGGGGCTAGGGTTACCAGACGTTCATCTAGGAACTCTCAGGCTGGGGCAAGTGATGCTGTGTATTCTTGGTGCTTGGGGGGGGGGGCAACAGTGGGAGGGCATCTAGTGTCCTGGCCCCCTGCTGGACCTCCTGACGGCACCTGGTATTTTTGGCCACTGTGTGACAGAGTGTTGGACTAGATGGGCTACTAGCCTGATCCAACATTGGCTTCTCTTATGTTCTTACGTACCAGCCAGCAAGGGATGGGGGTGAACTTACTGGGAGCGGGAAGGGAAGAAGCCAGAAATAAATGCAACATGCCTACATCACCCATACTGACATAGGCATGCTGGGGACAATGCTCTGGTTTGTGGGCAAAACCTCTATGGTAGAATTAGCTTCTACCATAGAGTTCTGCCCAAAAGCAAGCATTAATGATGCGCTTATGTCACTTCCGGGTGACATAGGCATGTCACGTTTATTTCTGACTTTTTGCCTCTGTGTGTGTGTGTGTGTGGGAGGGGGGGTAATTCCTCCCTGCCGGCCAGCTACCCTGCCTTTCCACTGTACCAGAGCGGGATCTGAAACTTCCTTACCGTAGATCCCTTTTGGCCCACCCTGTCCGGTGGCTGGATCCAAAGCCTTCCACATTAAGCTGGATGCCTGTGACTGCCTTGGAAGTCCCGGGTCAGTTTCAGAAGCCAACATCCCTCCAGAAAAAGTCCTCAGAGAATCACTCCAGGAATGCGACGGGCCGTAGATTGCGCTGCCGTCCAGCCATCCCGTAACAGCATTTACCTGAGGAGAGAGAACGAGCAGATAAAGAGGGTGCATGGGTTGATACTACTCCAAATCTCTGGACAGATATAATAATTTATGATTACCGTATGGCATTGTGTGTAGAATAGCCAGGAGATCTGAAGATTGTCTGGCAGCCACAAGTTCTAGCTCTTAAAGGTAAAGGTTCCCTTGCTCGAAAGCCAGTCGAATCCGACTCTAGGGTTGCGGTGCTCATCTCCGTTTCAAAGCCGAAGAGCCAGCGCTGTCTGAAGACGTTTCCGTGGTCATGTGGCTGGCATGACTAAACACCAAGGCGCACGGAACACTGTTACCTTCCCACTCGAAGTGGTACCTATTTATCTACTTGCAATTTCAAACTGCTAGGTTGGCAGGAGCTGGAACTAGAGACGGGAGCTCACTCCATCATGCGGCAACCCGGGTCTCGAACTGCTGAACTACCGACCTTCCGCAGCCTGCAGTTCAGCGTCTTGTTTTTAGGGACTGAGGGAGCACTCTCAAAGAACTGCGACTGGCCCAAGGTCACCCAGCTGGCTGCATGTGGAGGAGCGGGGAATCGAACCCGATTCTCCAGATTAGAGTCCCCCGCTCTTAACCGCTACACCAAACTGGCTCTGCTCTGAACAGATATATTACATATAGACAGATATGCATATAATAAGTAGTAAAGATTAGGATGAGTGAGACCTTGGTTCAAATCCTTCCTCAGACAGGAAGCTGACACGAGCCAATCGCTTTCCCTAAACCTATGTCTCAAAGACAACAAACAGTAAATTGCAGGAGGGGAGAACTAAGTGCGCTGCGTCACCTAGAAGGACACAGTGTGGTCTAGTGGTTAGAGTGTCAGACTAAGGACTGGGTTCGAATCCCCACTCTGCCATGGAAGCTCACTGGGTGACCTTGGACCAGTCACACATTCTCTGCCTAACCTACCTCACCTTGCGAGGATAAAATAGAGGAGAGGAGAATGATATTAAGCTGCTTTGGGTCTCCATTGGGGGAGAGAGGTGGGGTATAAATGAAATAAGCAAACAAAAGCTGTGAAATTCAAGAAGTACGTTGTGAATGTCCATGGTGGCTACCTTGAATACCTCTGAGCTTTGTACAATGTCATCAGCTGTAGGGTTAGCCCCTCTGCTTACCAGCTTTTTCTCTATATTCAGGTCTATATATGTATCTGCCAACTGGGAATAACACTTCACGCATCTGAGAATGAGGGTGCTTCATTCACAACTCCACTGTCCCTTAAGGGGCCGCTAGACTTTGTTTGGGTGCTCCTGTTGCTGAAGTTTCTGAACATGGTAACGTTTCAGGGTAGGTCAAGGGTCTACATCCTCTCGTTCTAGAACTGGCCCGCCTCCACGGCCATCTCCCCTGAGAACTAATCTGTATAAATAAGTAAAAAGTTAAATATAGACAGTAGAAGGAGCCAGGGCACTTTACCTGATCCCGGGGACTGTTAGGGCTTTGTCCGGTTCCCTCCAGCCACTGCATGCGCTGGAAGGGCAAAACGACACCCCCGGACTTTGAAGGGTCAAACACCCGATCTCCTTTAGGGATACGCATGTTCAAGAACTCGGCAGGGCAACCTGGCTTGTCGGCTTCGAAGACCTCAGAGAGCACGTGGAAACCTGTGAGATAGCCAAAGGGAAAGCTCTGGTTGGGAATGGATTCCTGCGGGTATTTGACGATGTCTGCGAAATCCAACGCGGCGAACGCTCAGGGTCGAAAAAGAAACAAACACCGAATGACTAACTCAAGGTGGCTGATCCAGGGTGGATCGAGAATGGCGTCCGATGAGCCACAACAGCGAACAAAGCTCAGCTTGGTGAGCTCACCGGGCCTGAGACACGTTTCAACGTTAAGTGACTAATCTGTTGGAACTGCTGCAAAGAACGTTATGTCTGTCTTCACTCAGATGGATGAAGACAGATACAACATTCTTAACAGCTACACCCACGGGGATGAAGGCAGACTTAACGTTATTTACAGCAGTCCCAGCAAATCAGTCATTTATTATTATTGTCTTCACTGTTTTTTGCAACAGCAAGCCCTCATCCCGCAATAAACCTCGTTCCGCAGGAAAACATGGAAGAATTTAAAGGTTGCTGCTGGAAAACTTGTCACGTGATTTGTCATTTATCGTTAAATATGTCTCAGCCCTAACGAATCTGTTGAACCGAATCTAATTAGAATGGGAATCCCCAACACGGTGCCCGGGTGCCATGGTGCCTGCTGTCACCTTTCCTGATGCCCACCAAATGTTTTTAGAAAGTGGACAGGGCTCTGATTGGCCATTGGAGATTTGATTGGCTGTGTGGATTTTTAAAAACGTTGCGCTGGCAGCAGCGGCTACCACAGCACAAGGATCTTCACTCTGTGACTGAAAGTAAGCCGTTTTGTGACTGGCTCTGCCTCCCACAGCAGCCGTTTTGTGGCTGTGCCCACCATGCTGTGTCAGAATTACAAAGGTGCCCACAAGCTCAAAAAGACTGGACCCCTGCACCAGAAACCATGCCTCTTCAGATATCATTCTGAACATTATGTCTGACTTCACCAGAGTTCCCTCTAAGCTGAGTTAGTGTGAGCTAGCTCACAGTTTTTTAGCCTCCGGCTCACACATTTTTGTCTTTGTTCAGGAAGGCTGGCTCCAGAGCAAACTAATTTATGCAGCAGCCAAATCGCTCGCTCACAACTTTGATGCCAATAGCTCACAAAGTAGAATTTTTGCTCACAAGACCCCACAGCTTAGAGGGAGCATTGCACCCACAAATTCCTCTCCTCCTAGGACAGAAGCCATGTTTGACCTATCACTCCCCCCACCCCCAAAGCACCCATGGCCACTCATCCCTTGTGGCCACCACGAGGGGGAAGAAATGTTGTAAGAAGGGATAAAATATTTGACGTACACCTTACAGTTGTGTTGCATGAACTGTGCATAACCTTTTGTGCGTCTGTCTTTTAAGACCTGAGGATTTCCACCAAATTGGTGCAGGTGGACAGGTTTTGACTTAGCAGGACGGAGGAAGGAAACAATTACCTAACCCTGTTCCCTCTGATTCACCGGGCTTATGTCCTTGGAGAAAAGCCACAGCCTGTTTGAACCTACTTTGGAGGATTAGACTCCCGAGGGTGACTCAGACGGAAGAAGAACTCAATAGGTGGTAAAGCTCAGACTGGCAAGAGGTGCCCAAGTCATGCCTGCAAATGCAATCAAACTCATGGAGAAGTGGACTTAGGGCCCAATTAGACAGGAGGCAGGCAATAGGCTTCAGGAAGAGACATGTGCTGTTGACATGCCTGCAAAAACCACAGCTGAGATCCTTCCTACATGCCCCTTCCCATAAGACACTGTTTTATACCAAATCAGAGCATGGGGCCGGCTAGTTTCAGGGTGTAGTGGTTAAGGGCGTGGACTCTAATCTGGTAGAACCGGGTTTGATTCCCCACTCCTCCACATGCAGCTGCTGGTGTGACCTTGGATCAGTCACAAGTTATTTCAGAGCTGTTCTCTCAGGAGCAGTTCTCGAAAGAGCTCTCTCAGCCCCACCTACCTCACAGGGTGTCTGTTGTGGGGAGGGGAAAGGAAAGGGATTGTAAGCCACTCTGAGACTCCTTCGGGTAGTGAAGGGCGGGGTATAAACCCAATCTCTTCTTCTTCTCTTCTTATGACTGGCAATGATTTTCCAGTATCTCAGGCAGAGATTGGGCTTTTCCAGCTCCTGTGACCCAAGATCTTTTAGCCTCTTGCCTACCTTTCTTTGTTGCGAAGAAGAATAAGAAGAAGAAGAAGAAGAAGAAGAAGAAGAAGAAGAAGAAGAAGAGAAGAAGAGAAGAAGAAGA